GAGAGAGATATATAAGAAAATCGAGACAAGAAGAATCTTTACCTGAAAGGTAGTATCTTGGTCAGCCCAGACTGGTTGTTGCATTGAAAGTGGCATTCTGGTAGCATATAGCAACTTTTCCAACTTTTCAACTGTAATACCAACCCGTATCGCTAGTTCTTCTTTGTTTGGGTTGTGATTTCCTTCCTGAATACATGATTTCTTTGCCTCCAATACTTTGCCAAGGAGGCTGTACACATTCTCCTGTGAATGATTGTCATATTCAGTAAAGTTCTTTTTGCTTTGCACATGCTACGAAATAGTTAACTTTTGAGTATTCAGACATAGGCGCGGATTTAGTATATTAGCAAGGTAACACTGTAGATTTTCCACTATAGCGAAAAGTGGTGACGAAACTAAGAATTCAAGGTACAGATTTCAATGGCAACAGTACTTTTCCTCATCATCTGCATTAACCAATTCAATAATTTTCATTCTGTTGCAAAATCCTATGGAGACAACAGAAATTTTTCAGAACAGGATACAATCAGTTGACACAAAAGATAGATACTTAAAGAAGAATCTCATTGCAAAGTAGAGACTGGAGACATGGTAATTTTTTCATTACCGGCAAGCGGATGGTCCTGGAATGTTGAAATATGGCCTTCCTAACTGTTTGCCTTATCCACCAGTATGCATAAGTAGCAAATCGGCAACCAGCTTGGGGCTTGAACTTCTCAACACTCTTCATAAGACCCATACTTCCCTCCTACAAAAGTATCAGATAAACATAGAAAAGCAATTTAATTCTCAAGTCCAGGCCTTATTATAAAATCAAAATACTGCTCTTTGGTTGCAATGAAATTTTCTGAGAAGAATTCATGTTTAACCTCCAATACAACCTAACCAAACAATCAGATAGAGCATGTGTATAATACATGCCATCCTAGGAATTGCTGGCATTGCCGAGGTGAATGCAATAACATCCATTATCTGATCATGAAGGATACAGACGAACAAAAGTTGATCTGAACAGATGGCACAAATTTAAAATTTCAATCTGGCATGTAGGAGTTCCCAATGCAATTTCATGATCTAATACAATGCTTTACTGCATTCAAGTAAGCAAAAAAGAAAAAACTTTGGCGTAGAAGTCAAAATTTTGTCAGTAAGATGTGGTCTCTGTAACAAAACCGTCAAGTCCTAGCCCTAAGGACTACATATAAGAAAGCATGTCCCAATGAAATTACCTGCATTAAGTCCTGGAGGCCAAGACCTCTCCCTTGATATTGTTTAGCAATGTGAACCACCATACGTAAGTTAGCATAAATCAGCTTTTCACGGCTGCTGGTACCAGAGCGAAGCTGTGATTTCAAGATCTGACAACTAATTCCAACAGCTTCAGCCCATTCAATCAAAGTTGGTTCACGGCCAAACTGTGTTTGAAGTCTACTCTTCACTTCTTCTAATTTAAATAAATCCTGTTACATAATTCGACACATGAATGCAGTATCAGACCCTACATAAACCAGTAATCCAAAAATCAGCAGACAAACATTACTTAGATATACACCTGAACTCGGGCAATCAATTCTGCCTCCTCTTTAGCAGTCAAAAGTTGTCTTGTTTCAGGACCCCACAAGAACAACCGCAGGGGATCATTTGGATTAAATCCTTCACTTATCTTTTTCGGCACATCTGAACTTGTAAAACTGTTTGACTCGTGACCTATAAGTTTTGACTTAGGCACCTTCCTTGTCTTAATTCGCTTGCGCCGCCTCTCTAGAATCCGGGTTGACCTTACAGTTTTCTCCTCCTCAACTATCCAGTTGTCCAAACTTGTATACCCCAAACTAGACAAAAATTCTTGACTTCAGTTCCAAAGGAATTTGATAGGGAAATCATAATGAAACAAGGAAGTAACACAAAACTGACCCCAGAGAAAGAGACTCGTCAAAATCAGCTCCCATTGATTGGGAGTCTTCAGCTAATGAGGCTGCTTCTCTGGAGGCTGACAAGGCTTTCTTAGCCAGGGCAACTACATTACATGGTTCGACATCCATATGCTTATTGGAAGCAGTGGTCAAAGACTCAAGAGTCACAGGTGTGGATGGCTTTGCTCCTGTTTGTAAGGATGAAAATCTGCAAGGCAGAGATACAACATGAGCATCACATAAGGATGCAATTTGGTAATAAAATTGCAATCACCTGAAAAAAAAAATGAAAAAAAAGAGAGGAGTTTTATTCATCTTACACATCTAAAATATCAGGGTTAAGCAATTGGGGCTTAGAGCCGTTCACCAACGGGTAAAAGTCATCAATGTCTAAATCTTCATGGACAGAGGCCCCAGTCTCTATCTGCATCCTATCTAACGTAGCCTAATTAAAACACAGAAAATGGTAATTAATTAGGAGTTTCCCAGGAGAGAAATAGAGATAGCGTATGAGTCAATTTCTAAGAAGTAAGGAATACCAAGTAGGTGTGTGAAATGGTAAATGTTTAAGAAAGAAGAAGCCTCACAAAATCTTGAATTATACAAATCAATGGTGGCAGTTTAAAAAAGAAAATTAGTATCATCAATAGGCATAATTTCAAATGAGGGAAAACAGAAGTTTGAGTAAGGAGTTTTACACCATTGAGGATTATTCAAGTTATATGCAGTACACGTCTAAAGCGCACATCTGATCTAACTTATATGCAGAGCATTTCTACAACAGAACTCTAACCTCAGATGTTTTATCTTCTTTCAGTACATGCAATAGAGGCTTGAACTCATCACGCTGCTCTTGTAAAAGAACCGAGGTAGGAAAATGTCGAGCTACAGATGTAATCGGCACAGAAGTAACTGCAGGAACTGCTTGCTCATGAAGCATCAACACTGAAAAATTAGGAGTACCAACAAGCCTGACGTTAACCAACAATGGTCAATAGTGGGGGTAAACTATCCCTTACTCAAACATTTTTGTAGACAATTACTATTAGCATAATAATCTGCATCTCTTCATGAACTCCAATAGTATCAGACTCTAAAGAATTAACTTAAGTAACTCAGCATCTCAATTCTCATTATAGAACCTTTTATCCTAGAGGGATAAACACACAATTATTCTCACTCCTATGCATGTAAGCGCAGAAAAATAATCTTTTTTTAGAACTGTTTCAACAGGAAATAGAATATAAAAAATATCCGCTACTTCCAAATGTAGCTCTTGCATTAGTATTTTACGTTGAAAAGATTTATGCTAATAATCTTTGTTCCACAATTTAGCGCATCAATTCAAGTTTAAGGAATAAAAATCAAACACAACAATTAAATATGTAAAACCCATCTCAGAAACACAAAAGCTCAACATACACGGTTGCTGTGTTGGGATTAAACACAAAGACCAACCATTCCCAACTTATGTTTAAGCACCTATGGCTGAATTCCACAAACTATAAACTTTCCCAGTAAATTATCAGCAAGCAAACAGAATAAATGAGAAAATGGAGATATCAAAGTAGTGAACCTTTTTTACCTGAAGTAGAGGGAGAAGAAGAAGGAAGAGGATGCCTGAGGTGGGTTGTTGAAGGAAAGGCTGAAGATGAAGAAAGAAAGTGTCTTCCAGCCTCCATGGGAAGGACAAAATAGTTATTTATCAGTGTAGCTAAGCTAGCCGTATATTCAAGTAAAGCGGTGTATATTCTGCCCTGCTGCTGTGTGTACCTTGCATTGGCTTCCTGCGTTTTGCAGATAATGTAGCAGGGGAGGTTCTGCTCCTGCTTTCAGAGACTATTTCACACCTCAAAATCATTTACTTTGTTTTCTTTCAAATGGATCAGGTTGGGCTTGTTCACTCTTTTTTTTTTTTTTTTTTTTTTTTTTTTTGTTCTTCAGTTTTGAATGAAAAGAAATCAACAACTTGGGCTTGACCGAATAACACAGGGCTTGTTAATGTAGGCCTATTCTTTGGGAAGTTCCTGCCCAAGTTTGAGCATAAGGGGCTTGAGCCAGAGTGGTTGACGGACCTCTAGTCAAAACCTGGCCCATGAAAAGACTTATCAGCTCAAGGCTTTTCTCGTAACCCAACCCGTAGTTGATTGTCCATCTCTTTTTCTCTGTGTCATTCCTACACGTGTGAATTGTTGTTAGCCGTTGATGCTGTATGAGATTCAATTGCATTAACATCCGGCATACAACTAACCACATGTGAAGGACTGTCGCAAGCATATGACCTTTTTCTTTTGTAATATTAGTGGCGATGTTTGGTTTAATAGAAGGAAAAGGAATGGAATTCCTATAGAATGGACCCAAAATTAAGATCCAGAACAAGATATTGAGTCCGAGCCCACGCCCCGAAACCCATATCCGAAACAAGGGTTGAAATTTAAACTTAAAATTTAAAACTAACAAACAAACAAGTCATAAAATGTTCGAAACAAACAAAAATATAAATGCACTAACAATGATCGCAAGGGAATTAGGTAACAAAACTATAAATTCTCTTATGACGGTACGTTGGAAAATTACTGAGAGCGAAGTCATGCCAACACAATGTTGTGCTGTAACCCACGAGCGAGTGGATTTGGACAGCAAGGGCCTTTGTGACATTTCAGTCTCAGACCGTCAGAAACTAAACCACCAAACAAAAACCTGAAACATTGGTTACAAGCGGGTGACACGACAGAGAAAGAGGGGCCTGCATCGGGCGCTTTTTTCTGTTGATAAAAAACAAAAAATATCACACAGTATTTTCGTTTTGTTTTATTTGTTGTATAAATTATTATCTATTCATAATTTAACATAACAAATTTTATCAAATTAAGAAAATATATTTGTATACTCCTTTTCTCTTTAGTACTTTTTGTTTGTTAATTTTAAACAATTAAAAAGAGATGAAACATATTGAGTATTTTTTTAAAGACGGTGTGACCATTAATTTTTTAAAAAGTGTGCTTATATTGATACAACTAAGTAGGCTAATTACAAACGTCACGCTAATAAAGGAAATGTTAAGACGACACCTCCCATATGATTAGCATGAGGACATTTTAAGTTCCGAAGATGTAGAGTTATCACGAAGGACATAGTCGTAAATTTTATGTACTTGAAAAAGTATTATTATCATTTTCCATATTTAAATTATTATTTTCGTACAAGCCTAATTCACAAATAAATAAATAAAGAAGGAAAATAGTGAGAGAGAAATGAAGTGGGGAGTGGAAAAGGAAAGAGTCCAAGAAAAGACCACCTAAGCAAATTAATTCATGTCTTTATTCAATGTAAGCTCTCTCTCTCTCGTCAGGTACCTGCTGCTCTCTTCAAACCAGCGCGTGTACCCCTTTTCCCAAAACAAGTTCAAAAACCATGCAAAACAAACCAAAACACTCTCTCTCTCTTCACTAGGACCCACCGAGCCCCGACGGGGCCCCACCATCAACCCGCTCTCGCTGCCTTATCCCCACATTTCTCACTCACTCGAGAAATAAAAAGGGCCCCTCTCTCTCTCTGTGGGGTCAATCGAATTCCCCCACCCTCTCAAAGCCCTAATTTCCCCTCTCTCTGAGCGCCCAAACCCTAAAACCACCACCACAACCACCACCCATGGGCTCAGAGATGGCCCTTGCCCCTCTACGCAACCACGAAGACCCGACCCTCATCCCCACTGCCGTTTTGTCCTCCGCCGCCCTAGAAACGGCGTCGTCCCGTCAGCACTCCCAGCAATCCATACAATCTCTACAGCCCAAGACACATAACCAGCTCTCTCAGACCCGAAAGTCCGCGTCTTCCAGGGACCGCCACACCAAAGTCAACGGCCGGGGACGGCGAGTCCGGATGCCGGCCATGTGCGCCGCCCGGATCTTCCAGCTGACCCGGGAGCTCGGCCACCGCTCCGACGGGGAGACCATCGAGTGGCTCCTCCGCCACGCCGAGTCCTCCATCGTCGCCGCCACCGGTACCGGCACTCTCCCGGCCGAGCCGATTTCGACCTCCGCCCCCGCCGTCTCCTCCCAAGTGCCCTCCCTCGCTTGCCGGGCCCACCCGCTCAGCTCCCTCAATGGCGGCGGGCAGTTCATGTACCCGCTGGTGTCGTCGGCTCATCAGGCTCAACCGAATCAGCCGCATCAGCAGCCGAGCATTCGGCTGGACTTGTGCCAGCCGGCGGGGTTGGACTACACCGAGTACCGGCAGCACATGCCGTTCACGTCGTTGCTGCTGCATCCGGCGGAGAATGAGGAGGAGGAGGAGGAGGATGGGCAGCAGGAGGAGGCTCTGTGTCTTGGGGATGGATAGATAAAGAAAATGCGTGGGGGTGTGTGTATATCAAAGTAGATAAAGCAAATAGGAAGCAAGCAATAGAGGGTGGGGTTGGTTGGGTACAAAAAGTGTAAGGCATGTGAGTGTTGTGTGTGTTTTGGGGTTTTAAGTTAAGAAGAAGAGAAGAGAGAATAGGTTTTGGGTTTTTGGGTAGTTTAGACAAAGGCCCTTGCCTTTCTTTAAAATATGATGTTGTTGTTCATCAATGGTTTCTTCTGTGTAGTAAGTAGCAAGCAGTCTTGGTCTAGAGTGGGGGAGGAAAGATTGGGGCTTTAGAGTTTGGCTCTTTAATCTGTAAATGTTCTTCTTCAAGGCATCATCAAATCAAATTTAATAAAATGAGAGTCTGTTTTGGCTTAAAAATTTGGATGAATTTGTGTACTTTTGACTTCTCACTCATGGAGGAGGAAGGAGAGGTGGACCATGGTTGGATTTGGACCCACCATTGTTGTACTTTATAAAATTTATTGAAGCAAGCTGAGAGCTTTCCAACAATTTTAAATCAAACTGAAGGGTACCAAGTTGTATGTCTCGGTCTAATCTTGTAAACCAACCTCAGGGATGATAAGAAAGCAGAAAACCTATGTTCTTGTGCTGTTGCCAAGAAGCAGAGAAGCGCTTTTATTCTAAGCTGCAATGAAACCTGAACTGTTGGCTTGGTTGCCATTGAACCCAGAAGCAAATGGTTGATAAATCTTTTGAGCTGTTCCTAATACTCTGCATTGCCCTGTATTCAAAGGTGCACTTCAATGGCCAAGCAAGTATACTTCACCACTCTGCACTGAAACGTATTCTTCACCAATGGCCAAGAAGCAAGTACATGAATTATTATGAAGCACAAAAATGACATAATCAATGGCGGAGCGTTCCGATTTAGTTGGAAGTCACCAGCGGCAATTCATTGAAGATTTGTCGAATTTTATTCTACAACCACACGTTTAAACCGGGAAACTAAGAGCATGAAACTGTACAAATGAGGGTACGATTATTAATAAAAGCAGAGTATCATTGGATACAAAGAACCGTTTATGTGGCTTTAGCAATAGATTGATTCAACAGGAATTACTTTGGTCCAATCAATCCTACTTCTGCTATGGTAAGCAAAACATTCAGAAAACAATCCATACAAAGAGAAGTTATTCATCAACCAGTTTCAAGGATAGCCTAAGACAATTTGTATCCTTCGAATCTCTGTACGCGTACTCAAGCAAAGCGCATATATTTCACTATTGACCAAACAAACGAATCAACTGTACGAGATAAATGACCGAAAGGTTATCAAAACCTTAGTTCCCATCTCTATATCTCCAACAAAAATCCTGAATTTAACCATATACTATATGTCAATATACAGCGTCACAATATTTCCGCAAAATAATTGTGCTTTCCGTTTGACACTGCCAATTATACACAATTTTTGCATAGACCATGAAGCATATATTTCACTTTTGTGTTCCTATAAAAGCATACCTATACTACGGAATACTTTCCATGATACTGATACATTCATTTCGAGTATCTCTTTTTTTTTCTTTTTTTTTTGGGGGAAAGAATTCATTTTAATTATTTGAAATATCTTTGTACATTCCAAATCTACTGAACAGGCCAAGCTACACGTGAAGAAAACAATAAGCTGAAGGCCGAAGAAGATTCAATGAAACCCCTTCAACTCTGTTTTCTGAAAATGTATAAATTCATTATCATATTGTAACTGGTTTGTTCCAAAAATATCAGATGGTACTAGCATGCGACTACAAAATTCACACATGCAAGCAACCAAAATAATAGAAATTTAGAAACGAAAAAATGGAAAAAGAAACTAACTTACTCTTACAATGAGATATTCCAGCCTGGACGAACATTGGAAGAGCAAAAATATGAGATCTGAGCAGGTCCTGAACCACGAATCTACATGGTTTAAGCAATAACAGGAGGAGAAATGTGCCTAATGCCATCCAAACATTCCTAATGTTTATTCCCAAATATCCGCCACTTTTTCTTCTTTTTGTACTCACTTGAGAGCGAACCTGAAATAAAACCAAAACCATAAGTCATGCGTTACATTTAGAGGGATAATGTAAAATCCTAAAGCATGCATGATGGCATTAGCGTCAGACAACTAAACCTATCCAGACTTAGATATATAACAAGTCAATATAGAAAGGGCTAGTGGAAGCTAGTTGCATCTGATTGCCCACAAAAGATTCTTTACGGAAAATCACACTTGAAAATTCTCAGATCGGATAAAGAGCCTATTATGGTGTTGCAACTTCCCCCTCCCCATCTTATAGTTGGTATTACACACACACACACCCCAAAGGAAAGGAGACTGTCAGTTAATGTTCAGTCAAAGACCGTTGGCTAATGATACAGTGTTATTGCTCCAACTGGTTGAGTTCAGCTGAACAAGTTATCCAAAATCCAAGTTTCATTTTACTCCTTATCCCTTTGCATTCTACAGATGTACATGAAGAAGATAAAAACAATTACCTCCTTGAGGATAAATTGAGTTGTAATGCACCTCTGCCCAGAAACTCAAATAAATAACTGCACAAGATAGAAGAGCTATCTGTAAAGCTTAATGGACGACAGATAACTAATATTTAAGGATATCACAATAATTTTTAATTGTTTAGCAAAAATTCCATGGGATCTGTTCGTCAGAAGTATATGATTAGGATAACGCGTGGATTCAATGAGATAGTAATAAATTTGCTCATTATAAGAGAAATGAATTTAGAAACAAGACAGTAACATGTGGAATATGGAAATCTGAATCAATAACAGATCTAGAAACTATATCACATTTTAACATACAGATAACTGATTACTTCATAAATCCAACTGTCTATGCCCACAACAAAAACTAAGAGCGCAACAAGCTTACCTTGTTTTGAAGTTTGGATATTGGGAAGAATCTCTATGCAACAGTTATCCTTAAAAGAAGTCAAGACAAAAATTTTCACCCCGTACTGCAAAAAATTACTCACAAGTATCAGTCATTATATTAATTACTCACAAGTATCAGAAATTGTAAAAGATCTTTCATACCGAATCAGCAGCTGCCTGCAATGAAACATGGTCACCCCACTCACCATTCCTGGTTTCATTCAGATTGATGGGTATTAATTTAGCCCAGAAGATTAATGACAGGAAAACAAGGAAACATTATGAGTTCGATTAATACCTGGACATCTTCTCCAAATAGTCATCATATGCCATGGGAACATATCCCTCGTAAATCTCAGGATGAGACTTCAGCTGGTAACAGTAAACCATCAAAGGATAAACCAGAATCCATGGTAGATACAAAATTTCAAGGTCCTAAAGTTCAGTTGAACGAATTAGTAGAATATTTCCAAGAGAGCAAACCTGATTTACGACTTCGCTTCTCACGTACTTGTGGTGGTCAGGTGTGTGATACAATTGGTCTGATAAAGCATGGAACTGGAAAATTAAAGCAAAACATGAGATAAACATGTGTAACCCTGAAAGATGCTAAGATCAATATACAGGAATGAAAATAAAACTGATAGGTCCAAATGAGAGCTACAAACTTGCTTTAAGGAAATAAACAACAGAAACAGACAAAGGTACAGCATGACTAACCTGGCAGTTTCCATCTCCTTCAACCTTGTGTTCAAGGAAGCCATATATCTGCAGTCTACATTAAAAACGCAAGAAAATATTACAACAACAAAAAAATGATGAAAACAAATAAAATGGATTCTACTAACTAGGCAAATTTTAGAAATACATACTACTATATTTATAGAAAGGAAAAGGGCAGGTATTACCTGTCAAGTAGCCTTTGATGATCTGAAGTCGCTTCATCAAATGAAGGAATTTCTCCATTAATTCTAGGAATATGCTAAACCATATGAAGGACAAAGTTAATACTGGTGTTGACATTTGCAAATCACGCCATATGTTGGCAGAAAAGTAGCAATCCACATATACAATTAGTACTCATGAATTTGCAAAAGGTATAAGTTTCTTTTGGGTAGGGGTGGCAGGGGAGTGGGCAGGTGGGAGGAAATTCGCATGATCAACCAAAATGCTATTGAAAATATCTACGTAAATGCCCATGTACATTCCCTTCTCAACATCAGATTGTCAGCTAAACTATAAATTGATATAGAATGGCTAACATTTCCTAAAAGGCCAATGATGACTCTTTAAAACTGTTTAATAACAAAAACATGATGAAGCATTTGAGATTACAACATGGTGAAAAATCTGGACAGCATAAACTTACAGGAACGGGATTCAAGCTCCAGTCTACTTCACCATCAAGTGCACATTCATCAGTTAGCTCCAAATGATTACCAGGGCTAGAACATAAACTAGAAGCTTCTTCCTGGCCATAATCATGGTCTGCATGGTGCCAAAAAAAAAAACGCCTATGAAGATAACTACATGACATAGGTTACCTTAATATGCATGAAAAGAAGGTACAGGCAGCAGGTTTCCAGATACCTGAACAATAATTCCTTGTAGATACACCATGCCACTCATCTGCAAGAATGGATGCTTGTGCTTGTGCTTCTCCTGCATGTGAGTATTCAGAGGCTTCTGTTACAGATAGTCGTGAAAATTCCTCTTGAAGAGTTCGTGCAATGATCTCATCATTCTCCACATGGTTTGATTCTGTATCATAATGACTTCTGACATACTCTTCATGGTAGATACCATTAGCATTGTGTTGTATCATGTCACCGTAGTAGTATGAAGAATTATAAACTGGATCACCATCAAGTAGACGAAGACCCCACTGAATAATTTCTGAATCATGCTCATGGGAAGCCATCTCTTTAAAAATGCATATGTCGAATAAGAAAGCTTAATCTTCTTCTAAGAGCAATGACGGAATCCCCAAGAGGTTCAAGTAATAGAGTAATCTCTGCCCAAAAGCTACCAAGTATGTTAAAAAAAATAAAAAAAACCTCCAATGCTTTGAGGTTCTTCAACCACAACTGTAATTTAAATTACAATATCCATCAGTGCAAATCTAAATTAAATCACAGCAAGAAATAATTTTATTAAATTAAGTATAGTGCTTCCAATTTTAACATAAATCCTTATTATAATGAAGCAGTTGACTTTTTCAAATAATACTGGACAAGTATACAATAGAAGATTTAGCTGCAATTGATTGGACATCTAACAGAGGATATAATAAACATATTTGTGAAAATGATGCCTGCTGTGTGATCATAATTACAAACTTTGCTAAGTTCCAAGTATGTTTATTATTAACTTTAATAAACAGTCCCATGTATACTAAAATTGTGCTGAGAACAGCAAAAGACTTCAACCCACCGTCAAAACACCAGGAAAAAAACAGATAATTGCTGGTCTAGAATGACCGGCTGGAGACTTCGATTATCCTCAAAACATCATAAAGTGACAGACAAACCTGTTAACCTAACAACGCGTGCTCACACATTCTCAGTATTTCTGAATAAAATATCGCACAGAGAGATAACGACCTAAAGCAGCCTACTTTCCCAATATTAAACTAGCTGCATGACAACAAACACATAACTCCCAGCAAAGAAATAGGAATCAACGTTAACTCGGAGAGCTAAAACACCTAATGCTTAACCTTTTACCTCACATGTTTAGGGAAAACAAAAAACAAAAAATGAAGTAAACTTTAACTAGCACAACATTTAATCTTTACTTCAAATAAAATTTCATAGGACCCTTGATATACATACGAAAACTAAAAGATCGACTTTGCAAACAAAGAAATTTATTTAAATAATATCCAAAACAAACTACAATTACTCTCCATAACATTCATATTACTATATATTCAACCCAACATCAGATTTTGCTTGATGAGTCAAATTGATTCCATTTCATTTCAAGACTAGACCTATATCTATTTTTATTTATAAGAAATTAGATCTATATCTTTTATTTTCTTTCTCCAATCTAAACCAAATCGGTTCACCCCACAACAACACAACAAACCATCTGAACAACACAACTACTACATGCATATCCTTTATCAAAATCATAATATTAAAAACCACACCGTCTAGAACTACACCACTCTCCATGCTATTCATCATCATCTCTCTCTCTCTCGATATCTCACACACACACACACACACACACACATACACATAACACAACACAACATAACACAACACAAATCAAACAAGCACCAAAACTACCCAGAAAACAAATAGTCCCCACTAAAACAACATCAAAAATCTCAATCTCAATCAGCAATAAAATCCCACATAATAATCCACAAAAAGAAAAAACCCAATTATAAATAAATAAATAAAGGAACACTAAACAATTTCTTCACCAATCAATATAACAATCCAACAAGATAACAGAGTTTAAAACAACAAAATCATTAGATTAAGAACTCACCCAATCAGCTTCGACTTAGAGCCAATAAAAGAGCTTTGAAAGCTGTCGTTTGCAAAAGGAAAACTTAGGGTGAAAGGTAGAGAGAGTTGAGTTGGAAACAAGGCCCTTCTTATTAATAGGACGGTACGAATGCATTGGCTGACGATGAAGCATTGAAAAATTGAGCAAAAAATGGAAATGGACTGAATGTGCACCCCATTATATACAGTTTGCCAGGCTGTTAAAGGTCGAGCAACTTTTTCATCGTACGGATACTACGGAGACTCTACATTTTCTTGAGTAGACGTTGGACGGTTGTGATTTAAGCGGCAATTCCTTGAACGGTTTTTGATTGCCTCCGTCCAAAAAATTGACTAAATTATGATTTTAGTCCTTATCTTTGAGCAAAGTTTTTTTTTAATTATTATTATTTTTTATTTTTGGTTTTCACAATTTTACCTTTCTTCCAATTCGATAATATTTGTTAGTTAGGTCAGAGAGTTCGTCCTCTTGCACTAAGTTCGATTTCCCCTGAACGTATGTGGAGTAAAAGTTATACATAACTCTTATTTTTTTACATGCCAGCTTCTTAAAAAAATTGACGGAATTAAAAAATTATCTTAGAATTATGACAAATAATGAACTACAAGTAAAAATTGAGAAAGTTGAAACTACATGTAATCAATCAGAATTTCCGCTCACATTATAGTGACAAAAATCATTGGCGACGAATTTGTAAATTGTAACTCAAATTGTTAAAGTAATTGTTCTTGTATCTGAAGTCATGTCATGTGTTCGATTTTTGTATCCCCTAATATCAACCATTTAAAACAAAAAATTCATAATTCGGCAGGATATTAATGTTCTTACGTGATAGGTTGGCGTGATATTGATTGCCCTTCTATGAGGAGATGGAAAATGGACGGTTGAGATTGGACTGAATTGAATGTTGGGTAGATCGAACGGATGTGATTGAAGGGATTTGGTACAAATTTGGCTGCCGTCTTCTCAAGCCAGAAGGTCCATGAGTCCGTATGGGATTTGCTTTGCTTATATGAAAAAATAGAGGAGAAAGCTTAAGATTCAATTAACGACCAAAAGGTCCACACATGGGGGCCGGTGGCGACGTGTCACAGTCGTAGTGTATATAATTAATAATTTATTTTTAATATTAAAATTTTCGGAGTGACACAAACGTTAATGTTATCGAAATTCATCAAATATAATTAGTAGTACTAGCTAAAAGGATAACAATGACACGTCCATGGCACTAGCAAGCACCAAGGATTCTCTCATTAAATTGTTGAATAAAATTGTCAAGCTAATGAACTGTTGCACATGCAAACTACCTATTAGTGTAGTGATTTGAAATAATTACTCCTTCAGAAAAGGTTATAGATTCGAGTCTTAGCATTCGTGTATTGTGTGTGAGTTTGTATATTATCGTCTCTCTCAATACAAAATGACATATAAATAAATAAAAATTTGCTGCACATTCGCAAGTTGTAACTTGCCTTTATAATAATAATAATAACAGTTTGATCCGATTAAATCGAAGTATGCTGTCATACAATGTTGATGTCTTTTAAAATGTTTAGGCTCAACTACATGTAAACCCTCTCTTGGTTGAAAATGGTACTAGACAAAACTCAGATGTTTTTTCCCTCAATTTTAACATTCCCGGTTTCGTAATATTTTTAGAGAGGCTATCATAGACTGATCATTGGCACACTAGTTGATGTTATTAAGAATGTATTGGTGAGAACAATGATGAGAGTATCTCACATTTGATTGATGAAAGTTTAACTCAAGAGCGAGTCTCTTCACCCATAACTAATTGGTCTCAAATTAAATATTCACGTTTCAGTATAGTATCTCAATAGATTACTCATGTAGCAGATGCTCTCACGACACTTAATAATAATTATCTGCATATACAATATAGAACATTTTTGCGTTTTGTTTTTGCTTCACCAATTGACTAAAGGGTCATATACCAGAGGAAGAAGCTCAAGCTAATTAATTTAAAAGAATTACACTGATTAGCTTTTTAACCCCACTTCAAAGTTGAAAAGTGCTTGGTTGGTACTATGGTATAGGTCGGCAATTCTGCCTTTGCGCTTTTTCTTAACTTTTGAGTGAACCTTTTACGCCAAAAAGAAGAATCAAGAACAACTTTTATAACTTGAAGATGTCTATGAAAACTTTTTTTGCCAACCAACCAAGTAAAATCTCTTTTTGGCTTTTAAGCTTCTTCACATATTCAGATTCAGAATTTTGAATGTCAGTTTGCCAAACAACTTTTCTTCAAGCATTTTTGAAAAATATTGTAAATTACATTGAGTTCATCTATTAAACCAAATATGCATACTTCAATTTTCTTTTCTTCCAAATATTACTTCTCAGTCAACACAAATCCACCTCACATATTTAATGTATTGTCTAATTGTTTGTTCAAAAAAATAAAACAAGACCCTGCATGTTATGAGGATAGCACTGTTTTGCTATCTCCATCCAATTACGTTCCGTCTTGTGAAATCCTCATCACGCATAACGGAACGTGAATAATTTAACCCCGCATACAAGTTTTCTCCCAATTCTGCCACCCTTTCTTCTCTTTCTCATACGTTATTTGTCATTATTGATTTACCTGTGAAATGCAAAAGCTAATAATCTAAGTGGCTGTTCGCTTATAAGCATTGCTTTTCCAAAATAAACCCCATGCGCATAGAATAGCACGCAGCACGCTATATAGACTGTCGTTTTATGCCGCTCCCTCAGTTTATAGAATCGTAGGCATCTCAAACTCAAGTTGATGATATTATAACTTCCGTATCTGATATTGTTTTTTGTTTTTTCGCTTTGATTTCTATGTGTGATCTTGAGCAAGCCAAATTCTTTATGCTCTTTTGTACCTTTCAAGTTGACATGGTGTTATCTACTTCTGGATTTATCCATACGCATCGACTTTGGGTACACGTAACAAGCAAATGAAAGGTCCAAACGTATATCAATAATTGAATGATTAGGTTTATGATTCAATCGTTTTATAGCCCCAAGTTTGTCTTTTTAGTTAAATAAAAAACACTTAAGTTAAGATTAGGGGTCCTCAGGAATATTTATGAAGTTGAGTAACATGATTTTTTTTCTCGAAAACAACATATTACAATTCTCTCTCTCTCTCTCTCTCTCTCTCTATATATATATATATATATATATATATATAAATTCTTCTATGTGGACGTCTGGATATATATGTCTCAAAGTTCAAGTCCTCGTCCAAGCAAAAATATCATCCAATGATTTTCATAATTAAATACTCAAATGTGTAAAAGCTTCCACAGCTTAAGCGCACTCTAAAAATTAAAGAATGCAAAGTTAGAGAAAAGAGGTTTAACAACACGGTTGACAGTACTGACTACAAAGATTTACTAATGAAACTCAATATGTCATATATAGGCTTCTCCGGGTACCAAAAGAACCAAGTTGTCCCTCCATGCCTGAGGCCACTATAATTAGCATCTGCTCTGAAGCTTCTTGTAAACAGGACTCACAACTTTGAAATGGAGAGAAATCCGTCGTTTATCTGTTGCGTTCTTGTTTAATGTCTCTAAAACTTTCCACAGAAGATTGAAAATTTGGGCAGATTTATGCATATTTCATAGAAGAATTGGAAAGTGAGGGGGATGGTATTTACAAATTAAGTAATTTATGCATAAGTTTTTCTGTGTTTTCCATGTCAAACCATAATTTATGCTTCAGATAAGCCCAACAACCACTATGACCAGTTTGCTAAAATGTACTTACAATCAGCATGTCCTCAAAAGTTTCGGTGTCCACACGCGAGACAACCAGCCAGTTTCTCCTCTCCTTAAATCCGCATTTCTTCTTTTGTTCACTGTTTCAACATCCCGGGAAGTTTGTATCGGTGCCAAATTCCTCAGGGGCAGTTGTGGACTTGCTGTTCCTGTTGGTGCCTCCATATTTTTCCTTTGGCTTGATGGCGCCTCCCTAATTTTCTTTTGGCTTGATGGTACCTCCCTAATTTTCTTTTGGCCTGACGATATGTCCCTAATTTTATTTTGGCCTGATGGTGGAGCCTCTATAATTTGATTTACCATTTCCAATACCTCACTCATCTTTGGACGATTCTTGGGGAGTCTGACCAAGCATCTGTTGGCTACAATTGCAAGCTTTTGAACTGACTTGAGGGGGTATTTAGCTTCAAGCCTAGGGTCTATTATTAGGCGGAACTTCTTCAAGTCGGAAAGGTATGGCTTCACCCATTCTAAGAGCTTCTGCTCACTCTTAGGGCGGTTTCGATCTAGAGGACGCCTACCTGTGATGAGTTCATAAAGGAAGACCCCATAGCTCCACACGTCATTCTTAGCTGTTAGACGTCCGGTCTGGATATACTCTGGTGCTGCGTATCCCATGGTTCCAACAACCTGATGAAAAATCACTAGTCATGTAAGTGCAAGAGTGTAGTACATAGATGGACCATTAAAAACCGTTACTGCGTTACTCTCTCATCTATGGTGAAAAATGGCTAAAGAATTGGGTATCCAAACAAGATAAAAGCAGTCATAACTATAGGGCCTAGGCTCTGCCAAGCTGTCCATTTTACTTGAAATGAGCTTGTTTTCTTCCCACCAAAACTCCAAGGATGAATCAAGACATCCTAAAATTTAAGTAGAAGTAGCCAATAAATGCAAGACCTATCCACTTAAAGGGAAAACTAATCAGATGCAGGCCTAAGCAATAATAAAATCATGAACGAAATTCAATGTGCTCATATTACAATTACTATTAGAGACAACTCCACTTATCTTTAATGCTAGCAAAAGCACAAAATCTTGGATCTAAAGTAAACACAATAGGCTAATTCAATATCCATAGAGCATCCAAATGTCTAACAAAGTAATAATTTCCATTCATCAGATCCACGGTGACTCAATTTCACATTAAACACGTTCACTGATAGCTCAGCCATTGCAAATCTATGGAAGTAGCAGAAGAAATCTAGGTTCAAGTTCTCAATATTAAACTCCACAAATCTATTAACTTTACCGACACTTTCTCAATGTGGATACTCTTGATTATACTAAGGAACTTGTTTCAGATGTAGATATCTTGCTTAAATAAGATCATAAACAATGAACCAAAAACTAAGTCACAAAACAAGCTT